CAAACTCAGGACCTTGAGCTTGCGAGACAGGCAGCAGAACCACTGAGCTAAGTCCCCAGCCCTGCAGAAGCTTTTTAATTTGATATGGTCCCATTTGGTTATTTAACAATAACCAATAACCAGGTATTATTTCCTGTGTGACTGGGGTTCTTTTCAGAATGTTCTTCCTATACCTGTGTCTTCAAGAGTGTTACTTATTTTATCTTCCAGCATACTCATTATGTCTTTATATCTAGATGCTGGTGGATTTTGATTTGATTTTAGTACAGGGTGAGAGGTATGTATCTAGATTAATTCTTCTGTATTCGATGACTAGTTTTCTCAGCACCATTTGTTAAAGACTGCCTTTTCTCCAGTATGTTTTTGGTCCCTTTGTCAAAGATCTGATTGCTAAAGGTGCCTGGGGTTATTTCTGCATCCTCAGTTCTTATTCCCTTGATCGATGTGTGTGTTTCTGTGTCAGTGCCATGCTGCTTTTTTTTTTTTTTAATCACTGTGGCTTTATACTTGAAATCCAGGGTTGTAGTACCTTCTGGTTTGCTCTTGTTGCTTAGGATTGCTATGGCTATAGATGTATGAATCTTGATTGTATTATTGACCAGTTAATTTCCTAATAGAAATGTGTTTGACACTACCAAAACTTTCAATGAATGAAAAGAATTCATTCTTGCTTCACAAGATAGATACATCTATTGCTGTGATCTGATAATTACACATTCTATGCCTGTATTGAAATGTCACCCTGTTCCCCATATATATGTATAATTGCTATGTACTCATTGAAACATATTTTTTAAAAATTGTGACAAATGAGGGTTTATGGATTAAAATCAATCATGATATTTAAAGAACTAGATAAGCATAATTTATCTGCAGCATGTGACTTTCAGAGTACTTTGTTGGACTGATGTCAGTCAAACCTGTATTTTTGCTCTATTTTATTTGTTTGGATGGAAAGTGAGGCTTTTAACCTGTGAAGCTAAGGATTTCTGAGCTATTCAGATTTACTCTGTGCCCTTGACGAAGCTGCATTTCCTGTATTTGAGATGATGATCATGGGTTCGTCCAAAGGAGAACGTAGGGTGGTGATCACCCTAGCATGCTTTGGGCAGAGTGGTTCCCTGGAGAATTTTAAGCTTCATGGAAGAAGGTGCCGTATCTTATGTGCCCTTGCTGTAGCACTGATGCTTACCACATGAAGCACTCGCTTGCTGAACAAATCCAGAGTGTTTACCATTCACTCTGTTCTTCAAGCATGTGCAATAGAAGTGAGATAAGAAAGGGGGACAGGGTATGAGTTCTTGCTTTTATGAACTACTGAAGCACTTGTTCTTCTTGCAGTCCAACAGTCTTTTGTCTGCTTGTGTTCCTTCCTTACTCAGCAATGCCAGACCTGTCTCAGGCTCTGTGGTGGATCTAGTCCCTGCCCTGTCATAGTTCAGTCCCCACAACAAAGAATCCTTGAAAGCAGGCATCACACTGTACTCACATTTATCAATGGTAAATGTTTAGTACTATGTCATTGTGCAGGAAGTATTTACTAAAAGAGTGAATCTAGCAGCAGGTAACGTAGACTCGTTTGCTGGACTTTTGTTAGCTGAGACTCTTAAACATTAGTTTGTGTTTAATTTCAAGGATAAACACATTGAGGGCCGGGGATTTAGCTCAGTGGCACTGCACCTCCCTGGCAAGTGCAAGGTCTTGAGTTCAATTCCAGGTACTGGGGGAAAAAAAAAATTGACACATTGAAACTTCCTAAGCTGTCTCTCTCATTCTTCCCTGGTACAGACAAGATGCAAAGGCAGGGTTGGTTGGTGGGAAAGAATCTGCTAATGCGCAGATGCCAACACTTTGGAGAGACAGAAAAGCAGATAGATGTTGCAGGATGACAATCTGGACCTTTTTTCCCTCAACACATTCTATTCCACTTTTTTATTCATCTCCTTATGTCAAGTGTAATGTGTTTGTTTTCTGCTCCCAAACAAGGAAATGATTATGAAGGCTATCTATATCGGAGCTCTTTTATTTCTTAGATTGCCTTAAATCTTCTCCTCCTCCCCCGTTTTCTTTCTTCTTTTTTTCCCCCCATTTTCTTATTGTCCTTTCTTCACCAGCCATCCTGACTGCAAACCTTCAGAGTTCAATTATTGGTTTGTTATCTAAATTAGGACCTTTTCCTATGAACAAATGGAAATTATTACAGTATGATACTAATATTGTGGCCATGTATGTACATACTTAAGTATGTTGTGGAGTGTGTGTGCCTGTGTGTATGTGTGTGTGATACTGGGGATTGATCCCAGGGAACACTGATGTATATCCCCATCCCTTTTTTATTTTGAGACAGGGTCTGACTAAGTTGTCCAGGCTGGCCTGGAACTGGCAGTTCCTCCTGCCTCAGCCACCCAATGCTATGTACCTAAAACAAAACCAACTGATAGAGAATTTGGTTTCCATCTGGGAGAATAGTAGTGAAATTTGCATGTAAGCAGTTGACATTTTCAAAGATGTTCAAGGTCCTGCCAAATAGCAGACGTGATGCTAGCTTCGGGGGTGGAGTGGCAAGAAGAGCAGACATGGTAGGGTCTGCTGGAGAAGACAGGCGGTAGACGAGCAGCAGATGCATAGATGCAGGCTCTAACCGGTTACAGAAGAAGCACCAGTGTGCTGTGTTCCTGTAGGCCCTACCTCAGAAGCATGGCACTGAACATATAACAGTGAAGTGAGATACGGAGGCTGAGATGGACTCAGCTGTCTGTGGTAGCATAGCATAAAAGGTCACTGTGGCAGGGCAGGAGCAATGAGAAAAGAAGAGCTTGTCCTTGGAGCAGGGACTGTTCACCAGGGGTGAGGATGGAGGCTTGTGAGCACCCACGTGTTGGCTTCCGTGAGCGAGGTGGTTGCCTGTGGTCTGAAATGCACACGGACCTGAGACAGGTATTCCCGGCGAGGCCTTGGTGTCTCTGCGCTCACCTTTGCACTGCTCCCGTTGCAGCCCTCGTCACCAGTTCAGAGCTGGGAACCTTGCAGACGAGGCTGCATGTTGTTATCCCCATTCCCGCAGGAGGTAGACTACGGAGGCTTCAGAGTATGACTAATGAGCAGTGTCAAATACCATTCATAGCAACTCGCTCTTTCACCGGTGATTGCCAGGAGGCTTTCTTCTGGGCATTTTCAGTGTAATTTTGGCTTTTCTTTGTTAGGTGGAGTTGAGTAATTCCAAGTGATAGTAATGGGTTGTTTTGAGGGTGTGGAATTTGATGGGTGCTTCATCCCCTAACAGGGCATTCTCCTTCAGGTATCTTAGCTTAATGCCCCGACAGAGGTGGGAGATTCAGGGGTACAGTGCTTAGCTCCTCAAAGACCAGGATGGCTTTCCAGGATAAATATAATTGGCTAAATAAGAAAACAAAATTATGACAAAATATAGAAGTTCATAAATCTCTGAAGGAGAAAAGTAGGTTAAGTTCCCAAACAGCTGAAGGCTATAGAGTGTGAGCGCTGGGAGGGCAGTGTCCACACTGTGTCCTGGCCCTTAGAACAGCGGCCGGCACAGCAAACAGAGACCAAGAGCAGGTGCACTTAGTGGAAGGAGAGCACAAAGCTGTGGTTTGGGGCTAGGGGTGTAGCTCAGTGGTAGAGCACATGCCTAGAATGCACAAGGCTCTAGGTTCAGTTCTCAGTTCCTAAGAAGAATAATAGTAGACTCTGAGTTTGTTTTCATTACATTTAAACAAATGGTGAATTACTAAGGCTACACAGAAGGAAATTTGAAAGTTTTCATCCTCCTAAAAAATGGCAAAGAGGATTGAGGAAAACAGTGCCCAAAGTTTCAGCATATGGAATACTTTGACAGTGTTGTATAGCCATCCTCACTGTTTCCAGCCTTATTATTATCCCAAACAGAAACTTTGTACCCATTAAGCAATAATCATCCTCTTATCTTCCTCCCCTTCCTGCAGCCCCTAGAAACTTCTGCCCCAGTTGCCACCTCTATGAATTTACCTATTCCAGGTACCTCATGTACATGAAACCATGCAGTGCTGTTCTTTTGTGTCTGACTTATTTCACTTAGCATAGTGTTTTCAAGGTTTATCCATGCTGTGATATGTACCATAATTTCATTCTTTTTGTTGCTGAATAATATTTCATTATGTTTTTGCACATTTTGTTAATACATTTATCTGTTGATGGATACTTGGGGGTTTTTTTTCTGGGCTATTGTGAGTTAAGGCTGTTTTGAATATTGGCGTACAAATATTTGTTTCATCCTTTGCTTTCATTTCTTTTGGATATATACTTAGGAGTGGAATTGCTAGATCAGACTGTAAATCTATGATTTTTTATTTTCTTTTTTTTTTTTTTTGGTTCTGGGGATTGAACTCGGGAGCTTGTGCTTGCAAGGCAGGCATTGAAACCACTGAGCTAAATCCCTGGCCCTAGGATTAATTTTTTTTAGGAACTTCCAAGCTGTTTTCCACATCACTTGTAGCCCTTTTTACACTTATACCAACAGTGCCTTGAGAGTTTCAGTTTTGCCACATTTTCACCAAAACTTGTTATTTTCCGCTTTTTGGATAATAGTTATCTTAATGGATGTGAGTGTTTGTTTTTAAATTAAGAATTAAAGTGCAGGGCTGGGGATTTAGTTCAGTGGTTCCAGCTGCCTTGCAAGCGCAAGGTCCCGAGTTCGGTCTCCAGTACTAAAAAAAAAAAAAGAATTAAACTGCAACTGACAATCTCTTCAAAGGTAGAACTCCTGATCCCTGAGACAGATGCATGCAAAGTATATTTCAATGAAAAGGAAAATTGTGGATTTTCTCTGTTCACTATTAGCTTTGTTTCCTTATTATATTTTCAATTTCCATGATTTATTGTAGTTCAGAATAAATCAGTGCAAGTCTGGAATTTTTAGAGGTGAAATATTTAAAACTTGTACATATGTATCATTTTGAAGTTTGGAAAACATGAGTCTTCTTATCTTTTCTATGACATTAAAGAGAACAGAAACCACTGTTAGAACTCTGCCAGACAAGGGTGAAGAGATCTGTGGATACTTCTCAAACCCTTCCTTAATGTCACCAGAATGCTCACCAACAACTGTGAAAAAGAAAGCAGAAGACATGAGTGACCTGCCCTCTGAGAGTCAAAGAAGCGTTCCACTGGCCGTGACCGACGCTTTGGAGCATATTATGGAACAGCTCCATGTTTTGACACAGGTGGGCTGGCGTGCTTTGCATCAGGATAAGATAGACAAAACAGTCCTGGTTATAGGAGGTTGCAAAACGAATGGGTCAGGGAGAAGTTTTGCTTCACCAGCTGGCAGTCATATAACAAGTCATGCCGGGCTGAGCTGCTTGAGGCTAGATCTTGTGGAGAGGGTCAGAGACCACTTGCATGCTCACACATGCGCACATACACGGTTCTGCCTCTGGCCCCGGGGGCCAGAATAGCAGTGTGGGCCATGAAGAACAGTAGTGGAACTTCATGCTCTCAATATAGTATTTGGTTCCAGGCAGTAATATTTTCCCATTAGAATCTGTGATGTAGTATGTTCAGATTAGGCTACTCCTGAAGAAATATTTAGAGCCATAAGGAAAATGTATTAGAAGTAAACATTTCAGGTTAGTGTGAAATACTGGCAACATTCATGGTTTTTCAGTATTTCTAAAAGATTCTGATGGTCCAGTATATAATTCCTCTCATTCCAGAGCTTCTTATATTGATACAGTTTCTTCCAGAGGTGATGGTTTTGCATTCTGATTTTAGAATCATAACTAGTTCTTTGACGCCAATTTACCTTTGCAAAGAAGGAATACAGTACATCTTAATAATGTATCAAAAGCTTCCAACTCTTGGTCAGAGATACAGATGTACTATAAGGAAAGCTGTATGTCGAAATGGATACAAAGCAGCTTTCTCCTCCAGCTCTGCTGTCCCTGTCCTTTGGAGAAGTCTTCTGTTGATTTTCTTTGGACATTTGGCAGAGCAGACATTGTTGCAAGATACACAGAAAGAGGCTAAAGTATAAAGTAGAGAGATGGCAGTTACTCGTCCAGAGTAAGTATTTCCAGTTGAAATAGCTCCTACGTAGAAATCACCTGCCTCAGTCTCATCCCTGGCTCTGCATTGTATTAGCAGGGCTGCTGAAAAGCGTTTATGTGCCCAGGTCTCTCACCTCAGAGGGCCCATTTCCATCCATCTGGGATAAGACCCTGGTGTCAGTCATTGAATCCCACTGTGTGATTCTGTTTTACATCCAATGTTGAGAACCACTCATTAAATGAATATTTTTGTCCTATAGATACCATCTCAGAACTTTTGAAGTTAAGAGATACGTCTGTGGCTTTGGAGTCTGACAGGCTATAGGAAACAGCCATGTGAGAATTTGGAGTCATTGTGTGATTTGCTCAATGAAAATTGTATTAAAAACTCACCCATTTTCACTTTGCATTTTGTGCTAGAGGTGATTTTGTCTGTATTTATCAGACATTTCTTTCATTTAGAGGCCGCTACTCTCTTAACTTCATGCCCAGTTTAGTTTCAGTTGGCTTATTCCCACATCACCCTGACATCTTTATCTCCTGTCGCCTATCAGTGTCAGTCCACATTAGGATATCTCCCAAATGAACTTTCCATTCCCTTCTCCTTCAGTTTCATGACCCATTTCTCCCTTTTACCTGATCCAAGGTTAAATGAATCATTTTAAGCTTTATTAAATTTCTCTATGACTTTTTATTTTTAATTTTGAAGAGCTGGATTCCTTTTGCATACTAAGGAGATTAGAGCAGGCCCAGCACACTTGCCAAAAAGGAGCAGTGAATCTGTGGGCAACTAGCAAGTAACATAAATATGTTCTGATTCATTTTAATTACAAATGACTTAACATCATGTAAATTGCAGGGTATTTATTACTATCGGTACTAAATTGTAAGGAGAAATAAATTAAAATGAAATTGTATTTTAGATGATAGATAAGTGGAGTTAACCAGAGTCAACAATGTTGACAGTATATGTATCATCAGCTTTAGTGTGTAGAACTGGAGTAATATATATGAGGTACCTGGCAAACTGCTTAGCACATCGTGGGCACGCAAGATATGGTAGCAAACATTACCCACGTCACTATTGCTTTTAATTAGCCATGATATAGCCTATGCAATATGAAAGTAAAAGCTTTCAAATAATGGTAAACTGCTAGCTGTAAACTAGTTACCTTCAGAATATAGACGGGAAATCATTTCATTGCCTTGAAACTTGTTGGCTAATATAATGAAGCATTTATCTGGCCTTTCCTATGTGAACTCTGCCACTGGTAACCAAGGAATAGGTGAAGGAACTGTGTCTTATTTACCAGTTCTCCCAATTAATAAATTTTTAGTGATAGAATCATATCATTTTCATTCCTAACGAATTAATAGACCCAGGCACTGAATTGTTGACATATTAAAAGGAAAATGATCAAACATTATTAATGTGCCCTCTAATGAAAAATTAGACCCCCAGCTATAGCAGTGGTGACAAAGCTATGGCACACATGCCACAGCAGGCTGTTCGTATCATTGAAAGCTCTAAAAGGTTCACTGTCACTGACCTATAGTCATAGCAAGGGATGTAATCTGACCAAGCCTTTGGGCCCAGCTGCCAGTTTACAAAATGTACAGAGAATGGAAAAGTAGACTGGATTCCACCATTAGTGTGCAATCCCCAAAATCCAGACCAGTAGAACCTCTATAGGGCAGATGGATGGAGTCTTCAACAGAGAAACAGTCAAGACAAAGAAAGGGAAGGCTGGAAGTGTAGCTCAGTGGTACAGAGCCTGCATAGCATGCACAAGGCTCTGGTTTCAATCCAGCACAACAAACAAACAAACAAACAAGAGGGTAGAGGGGAAGGGGGGGGGAGAAGGGAGAGAGAGAGAGAGAAGAAAGAGAGATGATGAAAGAAAAATAGAGAAAGAAGGGAAAGGTTAGGTACCTTCAGATTAAAAAACATATCAGGTCTTGAAGATGGTGAAGAGAAATTGTAGTATTTAGGGATGTACATGTGAGAAAACCATAGGAAAATACTAGAAAGTGGTTATAGTCAGGAGAGAGGCCATTGTGGAGGTGACCCAGGGCAGGTGATTGTAGCAGACACATGGAAAGTGCTCTGGGATAGCTGGCAAGGTTATGGTTATTTGTTATTTAAAATGTCTCCCCAAAAGCTCGTTGTGTCGAAGTCTTGATTGGTAGCTGGTAGCCTGGCACAACTAGATCCTGAGGTTCTGATTTCATTAGTGGATTCTCCTGCTGATGGATGAGATCCCAGTTTGATGGCATTACTGGGAGGGGATGGAAGCAGGAGATGGATCCGGTTGAGAGGAGTGAATCATGGGGGTGCGACCTGGGGGAATATATCTGGTCGCTGGCCCCTTCCTCTCTCCAGCCTGCTCACCTTGGCTGCTGCAAGGGAGCAGCTTTCCTCCACCACTGCTTCTGCCCGGATGTCTTCTAGGTCTTTCAGGCCTAGAAGCAGTTGAGTCAGCTGACTGTGGGTTGACTCCTCTGTGACCATGAGCCAAAATTGATCTTTCCTTTCAGCTGATTTTTTTCAGATGTTTTGGCACAGCGATGCAAAGTTGCCATTGGGTGATAGTTATATGTGTTTTTCTTATGAGAATTCAGTAAATGACACGTGTATTTTGTGTGACTTCCTGAATAATGTGTGCTTTTCTTTATAATAAGATTTTTAAGAAATAAAAGACATAAAAGACCAAAAGCAATACAGTCAGTATCACAAAAAATTAGATTTCCCAAATTTGCCATACATATATATGTACATGTTCTAAATGAGTCTATGTAATCACTTACGAGCAGAGTTAGAACAGCCTACATCCATTGAGTCCTGCGTGCCCAGCGCCATCTTAAGCCTTGCACATTAATTACTTGGGTCAGTCCTCCCAAAAGCCCTGTAAGCTACTGTTACCACCTTCTGGGTGAGGGGAATAATGGCAATCAGTTCTCCATCTGACTGAGGTGCTTTAGGTCTTGCTCTCCGTGGACTGGATTGTGACAGAATGACCAGCGATGGCATTTCAGCAGCACCTGGGCCAGGCCTGAAGAATTTTCCTCCCACTGCCACTCCACACATCACCGTCTAATCTGTGGCTCTGCTCAGAAAGCTGTGTGTGGCCTCTCCCCTGGCCCGAGGGCTTCAGAGATCAGGCCTAAGAGTCATCTGCAGAGGCCTGATCTCTTACTTCTTTTTCCTCTTATGCATCAGATTTTTTCTTTTCCTCAAAGTGCTCGATAGTGCTTTGTCCTGAGGTAGAGCCCAGCAAAAAAAGCAAGTTTGGGGGCTCACTTTTGAGCCAACTTTTCGGCAGAAGGTTGATGGCCCAGTTCTAAAAGGGTCCCCTGTGCGGAGAGCAGCACTGTTGTCCTCACCACCAGGTGACCAGGTATTATTTTGTCCTCCTTTTTGCAGACGGTTTCAATTTTGGAGCAGCGACTGACTTTGACAGAGGATAAGCTGAAAGACTGCCTTGAAAATCAGCAAAAGCTTTTCGGTGCCGTCCAACAGAAAAGTTGAATGGGAAGGTGTGAGCGGAGGTATAGTAAGCGAACACAGGACATGGCCTCAGGAAGGTAACACAAACACCATGCACGTTTCCTCTGAGGGCGAGCGGCAGAACAAAAGGCCAGAAAGCCATAAAGGACAATTTCCACACAGGGATCAATGTCAGTGAGTACTTTAAATCCCCAGTTATGACTGCAGTAATAAACTGATAAGCATTTGAGTGACTCTGCATTTCCCCCCATATTATTTTAAATGTCAGTTTTCATTTATAGTCCAAACGCTGCCAGGAAAGTAACCAAATCTCTGTATTTCATTGTTCAATCATTTCAGAAGTACCACACTCAGGCAATTTCTTAATTAATGTATTTCTTTAGTGAGCACACTCTTGGAGTAAAATAACTCACTTGCTTCTAAAACAGCATCCTAAATGTAGAGAATGAGTTATTGATCTATTTCTTTCAGCTCAAAGAAAAAAAATAGTATCCTCTTACTAATGCTTTGAAAAGTTAATCTAATAAGAATTTCTAGGCCACAGGATTTCCATAGCATAAATACACGTATTTTAATTAGCAACAAGCACATACACAATATAGGGCAGTGGGCTTTCATGTAGTTTATGTATGCATTTTTTTCTCCAGCGGCCAACAAGAAGGAAAATGAAGAGTTAGAAGCACATGTAGCCCGTCTAGCTTTGCTGTCACAGAGGAGTGCACAGAATGATTTAGGTCATACTGAACCTGTGGTCCCAGCCCACAAAGATTATGTTAGTGTGATTTCAACATGCTAAAAAGCCAGAATAGTACAACAACTATATTTAAAAATATACACACATGTGTATACACACACTTCAGAAATGTTGCTGCATGTGTGATTTTGGCAGCTGCATAATAAATGCCTTAAAAACAAAAACCCAAATATATTTGTGTCATCGTCTATCTTTTTAATGAAGTATGATTTGAAACTAAATGAAAATGAGTCAGGCATTTTAAAGATCTTGGTTGCAAATTGACTTTTATTTTATCTTAAACAAAACTGAGATTAAAGCTTAAAAAGCAGGCAAGTTAATTGTTGCTTGCTTTTCCATTTACCTGTATCAAGAACAAAGGTGAGAGAAGCTAGACCACATCTATAATCTCTATTGTTAACATGGAAAAATGCTATATTTTAGAAAACAAGGAAAATTAAAATATTTTTTATGTGGGAATCTGTATTTAGAAATTTTTCTCAAAGCAATTTTAGTTGTACCTATGAGATGAAATTTTTTTTAATCATCACTGTATGTTGTAAATACATTTTGTATCATATTAAATGTGATTTTCTAGACATTTTCAAGAGCTTGCAAAACTTCATTGAGAAAGAATGTCATGCCAACTTTTGTTTACTCTTTTTTATATTTCAAACAATAAAGAGATTTTTCTTTTAAAAACAAAAGTAATTCCCTTTCTTTTAAGTGTTTAAAACCTGGAAACACTACACTGCTTCTCCTCTGGCTCACTCAGTCTTCAGTGTACTTAACAATCTCCTGGATGGTTTGCCCATACCTCCTCTGGGCCTTATCTCCAGAGTTTATGACTCACCAGGCAGGATGGGGCCCATGATTCACATTTCTCATAAGCTTGTAGGTGATGTTGATGCTTTCGGCCTGAGGCCTACATTTTAGGAACCAGTGATCTAGCTTTGGCCACTTCTTAACAACATGATGTTGCCACATACTTTTACAGTCATCACAGAACTTTATAAGTGATATAAAATGATGATATAAGTGAAAAGCTCTTGAAACTTCTTCAAGAGGATCATTTTATAATTTTCCTTTTTTTACACTTGAGCAGTGTCCTTGGTCTTCATCAGATCCTGGCCCCACTTGAACATCCAACTGCCTGATTGCTGTCTTAAATAGGCATCTTTAACCATGGCCAGAGTCACTTCTGCTGCTCCCCGGCCCTGGCCACCTCCAGCATCCCCAGCAGCTCTTTCCTTAGTTTCCTTCATCTCAATAGCATGGCAGCCTTCCCTTTCATTTGCTCAAGCTGAAGACCTGGCGTGCTCCCGACTCCCCTCTTGTCACCACCTCCAGCCCAGCATGGCCCCAGCCACCGTCATCTCTTGCCTGTGCCTCCTAACTGGTCTCCCCTCAGCCAGCCTGACCCAGCAGGCCAGAGCTGTGCCTGCAGAGCCTGAGTCCAGCATGTGGCTCTGCTGCTAAATCCCTCCAGGCCTCTCATCTCACTCAGAGCAAAAGCTCAGATCTTAACTGTACGTGATCTGTCTCTCCACTCCCAGGGGTCACCCTCACTCATTGCCCTCCTGCCATAGGGGCCCCCCATTTCCTTCTGCCTGGAACTCTGTCCCCAGATGCCCTCAAAACAGCCTCTTCAAGGGTGCCTGCCCTGTACATATTTCTGATGTACAGTATGATAATTCAGTACAGGTATACAATGTGTAATGTTCACATCAGGGAAATTAACATTTCCATCACCTTCAACATTTATTATTTCTTTGAGCAGACAGCAATTTATGAATCAGGCAGTGCCAAGCTGCTACTCCTCTGGGCTTCACCAGGGAGCACAAAGGGAAGCTTTTATAAGGTATTTGAGGAAGCAAGACAGAAAATATCTGATAGTTAAAGTGGGACAGTAGCCTTGCAGGGCTGAGTTAAAGGCTAGGTGGCAGTTTCAGATTGGTTAAGCTTAAATTTGGTTGTCCTGGGCCTGACCCTCTGCCCTGAGTTGGGGTTCCTTCTGTGTTGTCTGCAGAGAATCTCGGGGTGCTAGAGCTGACTCAGTCTAAGTTATCTTCACATGCTAAAGGTAGTTTGCATCTCATTTACAAATAGATTTTTTTTTTAATCTCGAAGACTAATTTTTTCAAATAGTATAGAAAAGAGTAATTTAGAAATTTCAGTTAGTGAGCTTTGGTAAAATGTGCAAAATAATCTTTGGGAATATTTATTTGGTAAACATTGTTTCTGGTCTGTACCTAAAAACTACAAGGTAGAAAGAAGGCGACTTTGATATGCTTTACTTTTACCTTTCTCACTATACATGATTATTTATATGATAGTATCTCTGCTTTTTTACTAAGGAAGTTGAGATTTTATGATGAACATGAGCTACTTGCCTGCAGAGATAAAGCAAGTCACCTGCCTATGAGATGGACCCACATTCAGCTGCTGAGCTGTTTTGCTTATAGACTTATTTTTACTTATGGGCCAGGGATTTAGCTCAGTGGTTCCAGCACCTGCCTCGCAAGCGCAAGGTCCCGAGTTCGATCCCCAGTACCAAAAAAAAAAAAAATTGGATTTAACTTTTGAGTTTTCTACTGATATTTACAAGTCCGAGATTTTGTACTAAAATGTAGATCTCTGAGTTGTCTTGGCACATCAGATCTCCAAATATTGGCCCTGCATTCTTCCTGGCCACAATGAACTAGAGCTGAAAGGGGCACAAAGGGTGGTTGGGGGTCTCTTTGCAGGGCAAACATACCCCACTCCCCGATGTCTTCACCCCTGCACTGCTTGGCATTGCTCATCTGTCCCTTTAGCTACCTGAGCCTTTTGGTGTTGTTCTAAGACCGTCACCATCCGTCCCCAGTCTGCACCTTTCCAAGTTTATTTCCCACCACGAGCCTCTCTTTTTGTGTTCTGCACCCCTGGCCCATGACTGCATCTTACCCTTGCCTGTGCTAAACTTTTCATCACTTACAGTGAGCGTGCTCTCTGGTGAGCCTACCTAACTCTGCTCCGCCTGGAAAATGCCTGCTTTGGAGAAGTTCCCTTGAGTATCATTGCACACTTCTGTTCTGCTTCCACAGCGTGCTGTGCATGTCTCTGCTGGCACATAGCTAGCAATGCGGTTGCAGTCTGCTTCTTCCACTCTGACTTGACCTTCTCTAAAGGCAGGCACTGTCGTTTTTAATCACCCACTTTGCACCTTGGCTTGTGGGAAGAGCTGGCCAAAGTCTTGAATAAAGGAGCATTTTGAATTTATTAAAGTGTTTTTCAAACACTGCTCTTTACTTAGAACCAAAAGCAATCAAAACTAAGATGAATGGACTGGAAGAAATAGTAAAGGTAAAAGTGTAGAAAATGACATTTGGGGCTGAATAGGCCTTGCTATGACCTGCTGTTTGACATGTCACTTAGTTGAAGCCAGAAGGACTTGGCTCCAGTTCTGCCGAGGGCTTTCTCTAGCAGCGTGACCCGGATAGTCACAAAGCTTAGTGCCCGTATCTATAAAAGGTGAAAATAATCATGTGGACTGTTGGTGTGAAATGAGCGGCACAGTTGTTGTTACAGAGTAAGTGATTAATAAATGGTAGCCATTATTGCTATTAATCATATTTTCTCACCAGGTGTGGTGGCGCACGCCTGTATTCGCAGCACCCAGGAGACTGAGGCAGGAGGATCGCTGCAAGTTGGAAGCCAGCCCGAGTTCAGGGCCAGCCTTTCTCAAAAAAACAAAAAATAAAAATTAGTTAATTGATTAAAAAATAAAAATATTTTCTCTGGACTGTATTTCCAAATAATAAAGATTTTAATTGTAACTGTGTAGGAGGGATATAGAAGCTAATATTAAATGATAACAGAGAAAATGTGAAATTTGGTCCAAAATTAATGTTACAGTTTTTTAAATATAATGCAAAAAATAATTATAAAAAACAAATTAGTTGGGGCTGGGGATTTAGCTCAGTGGCACCCATGCCTGCCTTGAAAGTGCAAGGTCCTAAGTTCGATCCCCAGTATAAAAAAAAATTAGTTTTTCATACACAGAAAACCTAAAAGTTCTGGCCGAATTCTGGCCATTAAGCAACACCTGAGAAATTCAGCTGGAGAAGGCTGATGCCAGTATTATCTCAAATAAAGGATAAGCAGACACGGAAAGTGGCGGAGGGGACTGGACTGCAAAGCAAGCGTCACAGAGAAAAAGACTTGCCTAGAACTCAGGCCCTCCTGGCCTTTGACCATTTGGAGAACAAATATTTGCTTACTGCCTTTTCTTTAAAAACAAGACAGTTCAGAGCCTCATCTAACATTTCATTGAAACGTGGAACACATTTGGGGACTCTTATTCCCAGGATGAATTCTGTCTCTAAGAGGAGTGGAAGATAAGCCGTCTGTCTCTAGATAGAAATATTTAGCTGCTAAGAGAAAAGAGAGACTCGAATACTTATGGACAAATAATCATGATTAACCAATGACCAAATTTAATAATAAAAACAGTTCTATAGCAGATTTTTAAGTGAAATTATACCAAATACACTACATGCTTCATTTTCTCTGATGGCTTAGACTTTGTTAGCAAGTCACGAGGTCTTAGACTTCATGCACCAGAGGATTTATGGATGTACAGTGACTCCAGGAACTCCATGTAATTGCCAGGTTGTCCTCTATAAGCCCTAACTGTGACTTATCCAGGTAACACAATTGCAGCCCCAGCCTACTAGGAAAATAGGTCAACCGTTTGCCGAGAGGGAGGAGAGGTCAACGGAGGGAGGGGGCAGGATACATGCACAACCACTGTTGTAAAGTGCATCTGTTACATTGCTTTCAGGTCAGATCAGATTCGTGTTCCTATTAAAAATAAAGACTGATTTGAGATTCTTTTCATAATAAAGTAGATTTTACAGTAAGGGCAATAGAAGAAATAACTTGATCATTGAAAAATTCCAAACTTCTAATGCAGGATATTGAATAGAAAAAAATTGTCAGAAATGCAGTACGTAAGTGGAAATATCTATTTCAAAAATAAAATTAACTGATACACATGATGTTAAGTTATACAAAATTAGGCTTAATATTTGTGCAGACAACTTCATGGCAGTGTAAGCTAATTCACTCTTTCTTGGTCCAAGGATATCTTAACCAAAGATTGACCATATTCTGGATCACAAGATAGATTTAGTCAAAATTCTGTATGCCTTACATCCAGAGAGCAAATAACAGAATTAGAAATAGCAAAATAAAATGCTTTATAACAGAAAATGTGAAAAAGATGCATAATATTTAAGCCACAAAGGAAACTCCTGTAAATAATATTTAACCCAGGAAGGAATCTGAAAATGTAATAGAGAATTGTTTTTTTGTTTTTCTGTTTTTGGTGGTACTGGGGATCTGACTCAGGACCTTGTGCTTGTGAGGCAGCTGCGGTGCCACTGAGCTAAATCCCTGGCCCTGTAATAGAGAAGTTTTAAGTAGAAATAGAAATAGAATATGTTAAATTAGATGGGATACACCAAAGCAATCAAAGTATGAAGCAAGCTTCTCCCTAAAAATATAGTGATCATAATAAGCAAGAGGAAAATATAACAAGTCTAAAATAGAAAATATGAAAAAATATTGGTCCTTTGAAAAGGTTAATGCTAATCATTAATGAAAAGAAAAAAATTGTTTCACTTCAAAAGTAAGTTGAACCACAGTTAGCTTAGAAATTGATTTTTTGGGTTATCTTTGAAGATTAGAAAAAATATATAGCCAGGGCCAGGGATTTAGCTCAGTGGTTCCGCCACCTGCCTTGCAAGTACAAGGACCCGAGTTCGATCCCCAATACCAAACCCACAAATCAAAATGTAGAAATTTGAGAAAGAAACCTAATAGAAATATGATGTATATTCTTTCAGGAATTTTTAGAGCAGTTGCTACATAGAAACTTTTGTCTTCTGTTAACCAGAAATGGATATATGAAACTGCCATGAGTGTAGCTGCTATGACACAAATTCTTATCCTTGATATTACACTTAAAATCCTTCAGCAGATGCCTGGTTTACAATAAAAACTGCAGGCAGGACACATTTGTACAGCAGCACTTTGAGCATCTTGGAAACCCAGGAGCCCTCTGTGAACGGGAAGCTCTGCTCTCATCTCCAGCTTTGTACAGTAGCATCACAGATCTGTGGCTGACAAAATGAATTGTCTGTCTCCTGCTCTGATCCCTTCATCCATTCAAAAAACCAAATCAAAGCAGAATGAGAGAGGCATCTATTGAGTTTCAAATTATTTTAAAACAATTATCGTGTTAACAAAATAATATGTGTAAAATGTTTTGAAAAAAAAAATAGTTTCACTTTGGAATGAGACACCCTTGTGCCTTACTTAAGCTACTCCTCTTTGCCGAGATATCTCTGTGTTGAGGAAAAAGGAGAATACAGGAGTTTGAGACACCTCAGCGGGGCAGGGATTTGTGGTACTGGGTGCCAGACACACACAGGGAGCCCTCCAAAGCTGGGGAAAGGAACTTCTGGTTGAGATGTCTTCAGGGTACTTTTGCAACTCTTAATTCTAATGAAACACTATCCCTACCTCAGGTGGTTTCCTCTGCCTAATCCCCTGAGGAAATCCCTTTGCTTTGCAAAGATAAAAAGTTAGTAGAACAAAGAGAAAGTCAGAAAAGTGGCCAGGCCTTTTGCTATAGAATTTCACTGAAGCCCTTCCAAGCCCCAGGATAGAGCCCTGGGGCCGTGCTATTTATTCCTACACCTGGATAGAATATCAAGGTCTGCAGATTAATCATGTAGAAACCTGGTGTTCTCACAGGGGCTGTTGCTTCCTCAGAACTCTAATAACAACTGTGTCAAGGCAAAAATCACACGAAAAGTTCAAAGTTGTTAAATCCCCTTTCTGCGCTGCTTTCAGCAAGAGTCAAGAGTCTCATCTGGTGATGTTGATCATTCTTTGTCTGCAAAGGAGAGTTTAAAAACAGAGAGGAAGGGAGTAAACAGCTTGAGATGGCCCTTCTCACTCAAGGGAACACCTGTCCAAGACTTTCATCATTTTTGTTTTTATTTTCAGCTTAAACTGAGTGATTCAGGCAAAAGACACAGGATTTGATATGGATCCAGATGTGATCATGAAAAATACATATAAATGGACTTGAGGCCTAGGAGGTCCTGACAAAGTTGTTTCCAATACAGTGCACACTTATTCCAGGAAGCACATCAAAGCTCAGCTGAGTCCCAAGGGTGTTTCGGAACCAGGGGGGGGAGTAATTATACTGTCAATGTAGGAACTAGAGATGATAACATCCCAAACGATGTTTATTCACCATTGACGTAAGCACTAGATGTTTTAGACTCATTGTAATAATCCCATTGTTATATAGCAAAATGTATTTTAAGCAGTTCTTCTTAACTTCCCTCCTCAAATCCTTTACCCATCCTGCAGTTACAAACTGACACTCCACAGGCATGTTTTGTTTGGCTTCTGCAGTGTTTCATTGTTTTACTTTTCAGATTAGGTTCTAATATAACTTCACATGAAAATCTACATTTCTGGCTTCTGGTGAAAAATACACCTGACACGTCAGATGATATATGTTATATTATTACACACTGTGCTCCCATTTCCTCTGCTGGTAATCTCTAGTTTACCCAGCCTGCTTGTCTTCGTGGCAGTCAGTATCTGAACAGCGTGATCTATGTGTCTCAAATGCACAGCTGTGATCGTCTTGCAGCCCTGAGATTGTAGAACCAAGGGGATCGAACTCGGGACCTTGTGCTTGTGAGTCAGGCACTGGAACCACTGAGCTAAATCCCCAGCCAAGAACCACATCTTTATTTTGAGGAAATGGAAGTACAGTGACAGATTAGTGTTAGATAACAGGCCACGGGCACCATCTCTCCACTCTGGAGCCATCTTGGGCATCATCTCTCCTCTCTCTCTCCTGAATTATGCTGCCTCCTATAGTTTATTTCAAAATGTAAGTATATTTCAAGAACCATAGAGCCTTAATTAATCATATGTTAACTGAAAAAAGTAAAAAACTTACCTTCTATGTGCAGTACGATTAGAACAGTGTTAAAATAAGGCATTGAGTAAAGTCTTTGGGAAGTGGCATTAAGGAATCTTTTCCTTCTGTTTCCAAATGTTCTTAAGTAATCATGCGTTAACTTTCTGTAATAAAACAAAACTTCCTTTTTAAAAATTCTGAATGCACTGAAACACAGTTTGCCAAAGGAAGTAGGACAATCCTACTTCCCTTTGCCAGACACTCACTTTCCTGCCTCTCTTCCAGCTCGGGTTGGCTGTGTCCCTTGGCCCTGACTTGGGAGACATAAGGGGAAGTTTCCTGGGCCTTGAGAAGATGTTCAGGACTCTGTCTTAAACACGGGTATGTGAAAATGCCAAGCAGAATTCTCAAGGCACAGTTACAGATTCTAACCTTGAGTGAAAAACAAAACAAAACAAAATGTGGAACTGGCACCATTTTTAGATACCTCATTAAACATTATTCCTATGGTTTAAGCGGCTACTAGGTTTTCTGTTACTTGCAGCCAAAACTGGGATACACATAAGAACATTTACATTTTCTTTGAGGTCATAAATTTAAACATATTATCTGAAGTTGAGAATTTTCTTATTTCTTTTCCCACTACTACCTCTGTACTTTTAATTATGTTATCCAATGAAGGAGGCTAGTGAGGAGATCAATAGAAGATCACATGATTTTCTGTCCAAGAGCATGCTGATAATCATCAATTTTCATTCTTTTGGGGTTTGTGGGGGGGGCTTTTTAAAAAAAATTGTAGTGTACTTCAGGCTAGCCTTGAACTTACTATCTCCCTGCCTCAGCTTCCTGAATGCTGGGATCACACATGTGCATCACTATGCCCAGCTCATTTTAGTTCATTTTAATAAGTTTGGGTCTAACAATCACCGGATATCATGGAGCTGATCTTTACTCTGGTCATTCACAAAATGGAAAGGTGTGGTTTGAGGTCATAAAAGTATTCTGCTAGAGAACACAGAACGTGCTGCTTGTTGAGTTCATGCTGACACAGTCTTCTTCATTGGTGATTACTGGAGTGAAGAGGGGAGGCTGAAACTTGGAGCTAGAGGATGACAGAGAACAGGGGACGACGGGAAGCTGAAGTCTCAGGAAGCCGCTCCGTAATGCTGGTCTGAATGTAGGAGATGTTCAGCCTGAAGAAGACAAGATTTGTTGGAGAATATGAGAAGTGTTAGTTAGATTCTTGTGGGTTCAAAGACTAAGGGTTCATCTGATTTATTTCAAGTACAACAGGAGATTTTAGAAGGATGTATGCAAAATTAAGGAAGGAAAGATCTCCATGGTGGCAACCCAAGAAAAGTGTTAGAAGTTGTTGAAAAAGCAATGAAGTATGGTCTAGGGGGGCCTACCTGAGCCTGGAGCCCAGATCTAGGGCAAGAAGTCATTCAGAATCATTGCAGACTACCAAAGTTTCAGGTGACCTGGTTACTATCCCATACCCTCAATAGTAGGACTCCTAGCGATCCATCATGAATGCGATTGGGCTGGTTTGGTTTTATCCTTGCTTTGCTAATGTTGCTGCCTAACTGATCTCTCCCCATTTTTCCAGACCAAATCCATGAGGGAAAAAATCTCATTGATGAATTTAGTTACCCTCATCCCTAAGGAGGCAAACACTTGTGCTGGGTCACCCCTTGGCCACAGTCCACAAACTCGGTAGGATAAGCACCCAAAACGTGGCCACCTCGATACAAGGAAGTTTGTAGCATTTCTCAGCTAGGAGCAGGCCCACCTGCTTGACTATAAGATTCCTTTATAAGAAATGATTGGCCTAGGTATTTGAAAGACTGTCATATAAAAACTCTGAACATTTAAAATATATTCCAGAAGATAGGAGGAGGGAAGAGACTATAGAAAGGTAGACTTCAACCAGACATAATGAAGACTTTCAGACAATTAATACTATCTGAAAGCAAAATGGACCTCCTATAGAGGTGAAGGGTAGCTTGTTGCTGGATGGTTTAGGGGAGGGTGAATTACCTACCACCTGGCAGGGAGATTGCTTCTTAGAATAGAGGATGGAACATTTATGATCATCTTTTATCCTGAGACTATGATCCTGTGCTGAACTGGGAAATGTAGAAAGAATTCTAGGACCAGAGGAGACTCATGCATAAGATGCCTTTGAGGAATTTTGAGCCACAAGAAACTATCAGATATGTCAGGTTCTGACTTCTTTGTGGCAGATGTTTTCACCAGCAGGCTTTATGGGGTCATAGAACTCCAAAGTAGCCCCTAAAAATTCAATCCCAGTTGACCTCTAGGGTTGATTTAAAAGAGTAGCAATTTTCAATTTTTGTCACTGTTTTGAACTGAGGTGTTGAAGAACTCACATAAAAAGTGAGCTGGGTATGGTAGTACACCCCTGTATGCTCAGCATTCTGGAAGGCTGAGGCAGGAGGCTTGAAAATTCAAGGCCAGTCTCGGCAAATTAGCAACTTAGTGAGGCCTTGTCTCAAAATAAACAATAAAAATAAGTTAGGGATGTAGCTCAGTATGAGAGCTTTGGGTTCTAGCCCCAGTACTGCTGGGGGGGGGGGAGAGAAAGAGAAAGAAGAGAGAGAGAAACAGAGAGGGAGAGTGGAAGGGAGGAAGGGGGAAGGAATGTGTGTGATAACACACCTTCTCACATGGTAATTTATCAAGTAGCAGACAGTAACCTAGTAAGAAGAGGCTAGAAGAAAGGCAATAGGTAAGCAACTGTAACAAGTAAGTATTTCAGCACAGTCTTGGGTATTTTTCTCTGGTAGTGCTTTGAGGAAGGGAAAGAAAGGGGAAAAGGTAAGAGAGAAGGAAGGTGAAAGGTGAGACATAACTGGACACCTGCTCTGGGACAGGAGCCTGTTGCTTCCTGAGGCCTCCCACAGTGAGCAGCCTGAGCCTCATGGCTCCTGTCTGTTTTAGCTGACGATGAGTAATGGCCGCCTTTAAGGCCAGCTGCAGTCGTATGAAAGCCCTGGACTTAAGACATTAGCATTAACTATTTCACAGGAAAAGGTGAACATTTGACATGCGTTAATTTCTGTTTATTGTTTGCATTTGATCAACCTAAAGCTCCAGTATTCACCTAGAACTGTAATTTTCCAGATCACAGCTTGGCTGACCCCTGCAAAGTTACTCATAAATACTTTAATTCCCCAGTGCTCTTTAGAAATGACGGCAAGTGTCATAATGATGCATTGTTCAGTTCTTCGCACTTTGTGATGACCTGTCTTGAGAAGGATTTTACTTCCACATTATGAGGTAAAAGGTTGAGGTTAAGGCTTCGAGAAAATAACCTTTGGCATTCAAAAGGGAGGGTGCTTGTGAATTGCAGTCTTTATTCATTTCGGAAGTGTCCCGAATGTAGGTCAACAGTTACCAGTGTGCTCCAAAACCAGGGCTTACAGGAAATATGGGTGGAACCAAAGAAAAAGAAAAATCTACTTGTGTGAAGCATGGGAATTAAAAAAAACAAAAAATGGAAAAGTCAACTCAGTACACTGTGATTCTTTTTCTTTCTTCTTTAATTTTTTCCAGCCCAGGGAATTGAACCCAGGGCTTCATGCATGCTAAGCAAAAGCCCTACCATCAAGCCACACTCCCTGCCCAGTAGACTGCAGGGCATATGTTTTCCTCAGTTTCCTGCCTGTGCCTCTGCCAGGAGAGGAGGCGCCTGTACTCAGGCCATGGCTCAGGACCGGTCCTCAGAGACAGAGAGCAGTACAATGCTCTGCTGGTTTCAGTTCTACCTGTGTGATCACCACCTGTGCATTGGACCCCTGAAGTCATCAGGATGAACCCAGTTGGGGCCAAGCCCATCCTATTTCCCTTGAGTCAGGGATTGGTTTAGGGCTAGTCTGATCAGAACGGGTACAATACAAATACGTTCTTTCCTGACTATGAAGGGTGAAGCTTTAGGCCCAGACATGGATCATAGCATCTTGAAATCTCACCAAGGAAGTCACTCTGCAGAGAAAGCTGACCCATACGAGAAGCCAGAGCTGTCACAATAACTGATGACTTGTGTCGGGCTGTGACTGAGCCACACCGAGTCCTGACCACCTTCAGCTATTTCCCTTCACTGTCCTGAATGGTTAAATGGTTCATAGAGCCTTCTGGGAGAAGTAACCCTGGAGAACACAGGTATCACTGGGTATTATGCAATGGGCATTAATGAAGAAAGCAGTCCATGGGCCAAATTGTTTGCAAAGCACTGAATTAAGGCTATGTCAGAGCCATTTATAAATGAATGCACGTAGCATTATATAGACTTATTCAGCCAAAAAAAATCGGATGACTTTTTTTGTTTTTGCATTCATTTGTTTTCTGGGAACTCATGAATACTTTGAGGAACAGTTTGTGAGGCTAAGCTGAATCATTATCAGGTATTTACACCTTGGAGTATGAAGTGGCAAGAAAGAGAAAGTAGCAAACCCTAAGCATGGAATGTGAGAGGAAACCAAGGGCAAGAAACAGAGTTTCCTCCTTTCAGTCCTGGAATTGGGAGGGCTGGTTCACAGCGAGCTTCCAAATGCTGGGCCACATTCTAGCTCAGTAGATCTGCAAGATCCTACATATTGTATACATGTGCATGTATAAGATACAGATAAATGATCTCCATAACCCCCTTAGGTATAATCTTATGTATGTATATATACTGGGCCGGGGATGTAGCTCAGTGGTGCCGCACCTGCCTGACAAGTGCAAGGTCCTGAGTTCAATGCCTGGTACCATTAAAAAAAAAAAAGAATGTATATATACTATCTACAAGCATAGTCTGCAATTTGTTTTATGTGCATCATAAGCATTGTCAATTTAATATTAAATGCGGGCTGGGGATTTAGCTCAGTGGTTTTGCTGCCTGCTGCACAAGCACAAAGACGCGAGTTCAATCCCCAGTACCAAAAAAAAAAAAAATTTAATATTAAATGCAAGTAACCTAATGACTCTTCAAAATACACTTAATGGTCCCCCCCTTTTTTTTACCTCTATTTTTAAGTAATTTCAGGCTTACAGAAAAGATGAAAAAAATACAAAGAAATACCATAAATTTTTACCCATGTTCCCCAACTGCTAACATTTTAGCAGTTTTGCTGACTTGTTCTGTGATCTGTCTTCCTATCTATCTATCATCTATCTTTCTGAAGCAATTGAAGGTTGGAGACATGATGCTGTAGAGTTTATAGAAATGTCAGTGTGAGGCTGGGGATTTAGCTCAGTGGTTTCACCGCTTGCTGTGCAAGTGAAAGGACCCAAGTTCAATCCCCAGTACCAAAAAAAAAAAAAAAGAAATGTCAGTGTGAATTTTTTAAAAGACAAGAACATTCTCCCACATAACCATAGTTCAGCAATCAAAATCAAGAAGTGGAAGGGCTGGGGATTTAGCTCAGTGGTTCCGGCTCCTGCCTTCCAAGCACAAGGTCCCGAGTTCCATCCCCGGCACCAAAAAAAAAAAAGTGGATATTTTTACAGTATCACCATCTAATAATAGCACCATCTAATCCATTCATCCGATCCAAATTCACCTCCTGTTTTAATATTTACAGAAAACTTTTCTTTCTGTTTTTGGATCTGATCCAAGATTATGTGTTACATTTACTTTTGATGTCTCTTCAATCTGAAATGATTCACCAATCTTTCCTTGACTTTTGTGACCTCAATATTTTGGAAGATTTCAGGCCATTATTTTGTAGAATCTCCCTCAGTTTGGGTTTGTGTGATATTTCCATTGACTGGCAAGTTCATTTGGCCAGGAATATAACAGAAGTGGTGCCATGCTCCTCTCATAATGTCAATTTGTCCCATTACTGGTGATATTCACTTTGACCTCTGGTCAGAATCAGGCAAATGTGCATAAAACAATAAACTGGAGGTTAAATGTCACCATTCCAAGTATGAGAGTTACTTTTGCTCCAGCTCTATACAAGAAAATGAAAAAAAAACAAACAAACAGAAAAAAAGAACAGCCCAAGAAAATGTTTTACTGGGGGCAACTAGATTTTCTTACTTTAATAATTTTCTTGTTTGTAATTTGGAAGATAATATTTTTTCCGTCTTTTAATAGAACAGGGTGTGTTATGGTTGACACATTCAGGAAGTATCAAGTTTTCTGTTAAAGAGATTATAAAACATGTTTATGTAATATCCAATCATGAGTTTGTTGTGGTCATGTTTCTACTGCTTACCTCGTAATCTATCTGCATGAATCAACTTTGCCCTCCAGAGCTGCCCAGTGTAACCCAAACATTAATGGTGCACAAGTTGTAAGTGGGTCGACTTAATGCTGGAAATTTGAACTCTGGGGAAGCTGTTTCAAAAGGATGAGGCACTTTGTGGAAACAAAGCAGATGGGTTACAGAATGCTCAGAATCCACTGAGGGAGGAACTGCACTATAATCCATATAGTAGGGGCATGGAGCATCACTCTGCTTATAGGACCCAGTGCTGTTTTAAGGCCACATCATAGGCAACAAATGATTTAAATTTAAATGATATAAAACATCAATGAAAGTAGCTAAAATCTCTAAATATGATTTTTCATCCACTTTATATACCACTGAAACAATCTCTGTCATGCATATCAAAGAATATTATTGTTTTTACTTGCATAAATGGCCTAAACCAATAGGACCAATAGACAGTTATGAGGATCTTTTTGGTAAATTCCAGTAGTTTCTTCTAACAGGCCAGTAGGTGTTATTTGATCCAAACCAGTCGAGTGTGTCACAATCCAAGCGAGTCACAGAACAAAGAGGTCAAACAGAACACACGTGGGTGAGTGGGCAGCCACAGGCACCCGCTGTGACTGGACATCTGGACGCCTCCCTTTCCTGCGACGACTGAAACCAGGCACCTTCCAGGAAAGGCCAAGTCAGGACTGGACGTATTCACAAATTCACAGCAGGATTTTATAGGTGATATTTGAGTTGGATGAAGCAAGAAGAACCTACATGGAGTGGAGAGACCCAGGCCTCAGAGGCCCCAGAACTGAGCAGGTATGAGATTTGGCCTTAGCCAGTTCATGTCCTGGCCCACAAGAGGGCAAATGGGTCCTAACTCACAGCCTCACCCACAAAATGTTATTTCTAACATTTCTTTAGGATAACGACTCTCAAATACTGATTCATCGAAGTACATTCCATATGCTGTGTAATCAGTGTAAAATGTTGATTTCTATTTGGTCACTTTATATGCTAACGAACCATCCCTTGAGTTGTTGTTAGAGTTAATGCCCATACACATAAAATACATATACTAAATTGTTTTAGAATAAATCATCACACAGGTAAGCTATGGGATTATTTTTAGTTTTCATGATAATGGTGTGACCGGTGGTGGCGTAACTGCATTATCAGGGTTGCTTTAGCTTTAAGGAGGGACAGAGCAGGCTGTGGGGCATCTGGGAGTCCCTCACTCTAAAGGAGTCACACAGCACAGGAAGACTGAGCAGGTTGTTGGCCTTGTTTTCTTGTTACAAATTTCTCATTCTGCATAGTATAGAAAAATCAGAAAATACAGTCAACAAAAAAATGGGCAATCCATAATCTATCCTGACGAAGACTACCAATTTTAAACATGTAGGTACATATAAATATAGATATACAATTTTGTTTACAAACACAGGGAGTTTCTTTTTCTTACAAAGGAAATGGGAAAGGGACCTGAGGACAGAGGGAAATAGGAAAGATGGGAGGGAGAGGGAAATAAAAAGGATCGGGATGTGATATGTATATGTACCAATTCTTCATGATGAATGCGTTTATTAGGTATCAAAAACATACTAGAAAGGGACTGGGGATTTAGCTCAGTGGTTTTGCTGCCTGCTGCACAAGCGCAAAGACCCAAGTTCAATCCCTAATACTAAAAAAAAAAAAAAAAAAACTAGAAAAAGAAAATTTATAATCAATACCTTTGATATCAATGTATGCACTAAATTCATTGGGAAGACTGTACTGATTAATATATTGGTTAATATAACCAACTGTCCCCAACTATTTGTTCTTAAAAAAAAAAAGTCCTGCCACTGAACATCCTGACAAAGTTTCCTAAGCATTTCCTTAAGAAAAATTCCCAGATATGTGTTGCCAAGTACAAGTTCTTACATATTTTTCTTTCCTTGTCCTTACGTAATACCTGTTCATCTCCTTCCTACTTTCCAGCAATCATATCACATTTTCCTAGTCAACTCTTCCACTTGCTCAGGCTCCTCATTCTCAGCTGGTGGCATTGCTTCCTAGTTCTGTGAGAAAATAGACGTCACTGGAAGCTTCCACAATCCCCCACCTCTGCCACCCACCTTCCAGTGTCTGCAGCCACAAGCCCTGCTTGCCTTCCTGTGAGCCAGAACTGGCTTTTCTTTGGCACTGGTCAGCTCCCAATGCCTATCCAAAGGCACTGCTCCTGCAAGTCTAGCCTCGCTTTCCTGCACCATCAGTTTTTCCCTCTCTTTCCTGTGGATCACTCCCATTAGCTTCTCATCTTTTTCTTTTCTTTTTTTTTTTTTTTTGGTACCAGGGATCAAACTCAGGACCTTGCACTTGCAAGGCAGGCGCCGGAACCACTGAGCTAAATCCCCGGCCCAGCTTCTCATCTTTAAAAACGAATAGACAGGCCCCCTTTTGGGCCCCATTTCCACATTCAGTTTTAGAATAATTTCCAGTCTCTTTGTAGCTCAACTCCATGAAAGAGTTGTCTTCATTCGAGGTACCCAATTCCTCCCATTCTCTGTTTAACCTACTTCTATGCATTCCACCAAAACGATTTTTGTGGGGGTCCCCACTGACTTACTAGCTCTTATAGCTGATGGACAACCTTAAGTCCCGTCTTACATGATCAGCAGCAGTTGACACTAGTCACCAAACCCTCTTCTTTGAAAGATTCTTTCTCCCCAGGGCTGATGGCTCCAGAAGTCCACAGGGGTCCTCTCTCTTTCACCCTCCTCAGCATCCTTTCCTGGCCCCTCTTCATCTCCAGTGTTGCAAGGGGCAGGCTTTGGACACCACTTTGCTACTGACTTAGCCTTTCCTTAGTCTCGTCGAGGACTTGGCTCTAACATAGACTTGCTGACCAGTTCTATAGCCCCACACTCCTCTGCCTTTTCCCTGTGTTCACACATGGTTTTGGTGAAGTCACTCTATAGATAGTTTTAACATCTGCTTTGAAGTTTTTGATATGGATATCGTTCAGATTTTGCACATACCTCTCCAAATAGTCTTTCAGAAATTCCACATTACATCTTGCTGGCAATGTACTAGAGTCAAACTTGGCCTTGTTAGATCTGTTCTGTATGTAATCGAATACATGTGGTATGATTAGAAAAGGTGGTGTTTACAGTTTTAAAAACTTATTACAGTAAAAGACATACTGCTCTTAATCTCCCTCACAATAATCATCTTTATTGCAAACACACATCCCTCCAGTCTTGCCACTTCTGAAGCAGCTCTGAAGTCCTCTTCCATGTCTTTTGTTGTACTGTCATGGCTGCCTTGATGTCCTGAATTGGTCCAAAACATTTACCTTTCACGGTTATTTTGGCTTTGGTTCCCCACCGAGAAGTTGCACCTTATCCAGTGAATGAGGTACATGAGGACGCACTAGCATGTTTTTATTTGACAGAGATTGCCATAAATGTTTTGAATCATTTCAGAACATTGAGGGAACCAGCAAAAGACACTCATGAAAGAGAACTTCTAGAACTGCTTCAGAAAGTGGCAAGAATTTGGGATTTAGCTCAGTGGTTTTGCCGCCTGCTGCACAAGCGCAAGGACCCAAGTTCGATCCCCGGTACCAAAAAAAAAAGAAAGAAAGTGGCAAACATGATGGGAAAGGGTATTCAGTGAGAGTGAGGGGGAGTATATCGAGGGGGACTAATGACAATGTGTCTTTTACTATAACAATTTTTAAATTTTTAATTTAAATGTTCACTTTTTTTGAGAGTACCTTATATTATGTTTGCATTGGTCTTGAAATCTTACAGGCTTTATTTTCAGCATCTTCCCAAATTCTCTTGTCACCTTAACCATTCATTGATAAACATACACATCTTCCCTAAAAGTGGGAGGGATTCAAGAAATGAGTACATTACCTCAAAAAACTATTGAACAGGGCCGGGGATCTAGCTCAGTGGTTTCACTGCCTGCTGCGGAAGCGCAAGGACCCGAGTTCAATCCCTGGTACCAAAAAACAAAAAACAAAAACAATTGAACACTATTTTTTTTAGGACTACTGCTGGAGAGAAGTTCTTGAATATGAGTAGCCATCTTATTAAAACTAAGCAATCCTAATAGTTTCTAGAATTAAAATTCATAGAATTAAGGTGTGGGCTGAGCTATTATTTGCTGGCAGATAGATAGAGGCTGTCATAAACTGTTTTGTCTCATGTAATCCACTAGCTGTGCATTTCATGATTCCAAAGGATGCCTTCAAGATGGTCCACAACAAGAAGTCTCCCCCTGGAGTTGTGCTGTGTGGCAGCTACCAAAAATCTCTGGCTGGGGCTGGGATGTAGTTCAGTGGAGCCACACCTGCCAAACGCAAGGTCCTGAGTTCAATTCCTGATACTGAAAAGAAATACAAAAATGTCTGGCTGGATTAATTCAATTTTAGGAATCATTTCTGAAATATTTTCTTTTTCTGGTTTGGCCTTTCTGCTTTCCTATTAAGCATTTTTCTAAGAAAAGCAGACTATTACGATAGTCAAATTAAATTGTTTTTTCAATGAACAAAGAGAGGGTGCATACCACGTGGTCCAGTAAAATGACCAAACGTGTCTGTCAAATGAGTTCGCTGACTGGTCCAGAAAGGGATCTTGGGAGGAAAGCAGACACCTGAGTTCTGAGACCCATCCCACTGCTGCCAGGACACTGCAGCATCTCTCCACATCTTCCGACCCTGATGCTTTTGCCTGCTTTGTCTCTTCACTCTGTCCTCCCAAACCCATGAAGTATGTGGTATGCTTGTGTGTTTGAATGTAACCTTTTCTCATTATTGTAAGAACTTTTTAAACATTTTTTAAAGCTTGAGCATCTTATTCTCCCAAGCAAGAAATACAACAAGCCCTAACATAAAATGTTAACAGACAATAAACAGGTCAAGGCAGACCTGCTCTGTTGGCCTCTTGGGAACAGAATGTGAAACCCTTGCCCCTCTGCTGGACACACCCAGAGGACCACCCTGTCCCTCACACCCCACACCCTCCTCCGATCCCTTCTCCTGGAGACAAGATGAGGACTTTGCCTGAAGAGCAAAGCTTGGTGGGAGGGGGGCTCCAGAGACGTCAGCAATCCAGATAGAGAATATTTTAATACAACATTTTAAACACTCAAAATTAATGCAAAAATCCATGATGAATAAAACATTAAAATATTAAATAAAGACAGGATTAGTAATGGTGTTTTGTGAACCATATTTGAGCCTGAGCCAAAAGGAAAATCTCGGTAATACTGATACTGTCTTTAGAGGGCTAATATTCTTTTATCTTGATTGCTGAAATGCTAGTGTCCCTTTAAACTCTGAGCTTGAAGTAGGTGCCTCACTGTCATGGTACCCTTTACATCCATCACCCTAGATTACTGTACAGTTGACTATTTCTTGCTTCCATTCCCTCTTGGAATGTATGGCCCCTGGGTATGTAGACCATGTCATGTTCATTTTTGCATCTCAAACACGCTAAGGACATAGTAGGATTTAGTAAACATTTTTAAAATAAATAGATCAGTCTAGAAACTATTAGATATGTATTTATCCCTCTGGTCCAACCTCTATCTAGCTTTGTGACCAGGCAAATCATGACTTCTCTGGCTTTACTAGGCTTCCCTGTGAAATCAAAGACTGGGTAATGCATGTCTACAGAATTAATTTGCCTGTAGAAGAAAAATCTCCCAAAGATTCCCTGCCTGATTATTGATTATATAATAAGGTCCTTGTAAGGGTGCTGGTATTTTTCAACATATTAGAGAACTGTGTTCAATAAATCTATGGAGTTATCTGTAAAATGCACTCTTGGCCAGATAAAGTGCTTTGAACTTATATTTTGTTGAAACTGTATTTCAAAATCTACGGGGGGTAATCTTTCTAGTAATCCTGTTCCAGTTGAGAAAGTCAAGAATTGTCCTTTGATTATCTCAACATATGTTAAGAAATACCTCCTTGCTTTTAGTTCCATTCTTATTGGATGGTTGCCTTCAAAGGTAGCAGAGAGCCACTGAAGTCTGGAAAAGCATTTGAGGCTTTCCCAACATCTCTCTTGTGTGATTGAAAGGGAGGAAAGTTCAGTTCCTTGCAGGTAATATTAGGTTTTGTTGTGGGGACAAAATACCTGACATACACAACAGAAAGGAGGAAGGGTTTACTTTGGCTCATGGTTTTGGAAGTTTCAGTCCATGGTTAGCTGGTAGAAATATGGCAGAAGTACATGGCAGAGGGAAGCTGCTCACCTCATGACAGCCAGGAAGCAGAGCATAGGGAAGTGTCAGAGAGGAAGGGACCAGGGACCAGATATAGTCCCAAGGTCTTATGACCAACCCAGAAACACCCAAAGGCATGCTTTACCAGTCTCCTAGGTGTCTCAAGTCAATCAGATGGAAAGATCAACTGTCGCACAGGTATAGAAACAAATGTACATCAAGTACCTACTGTCCACCTGCTATGTGTAGTCTTCTGTGGGAACAACAGCATGAGAGACAAAGTTTCTGTCCTTGGTGAGTTTTCAAGACACTGCTAGGAATGAAAACATGAACAAAGAAACACCATGAGTGGGTTGTACAATCAACTGTCAAGACAGTAAAGATAAGAGAATAGTGGAAGAAAAAGAGAAAGCAAATTACCTTTAGGTGCCTACTATATAAAGACTGAAAATCTTCTTTCATATAATCTTCACAGCTATCTTTTGAGTTAAGTATTAATATCTCAAACTAATAAGGACACAGAGGCTTGGAGTAAAAGTCACTCAGGAAGTACTATTTGTTTTCCCATACAGGTTTTGCATACAGGTCTTCTAAGATGTTTGAAAGGGATTACTTAATCTGGGTACTGTGAAGTTTAACTGAGTAAGGAAATATTGCTTGTCTTCCTTTATCCTTTTAACAAAATTTTTAAATGACTTTTATTTAGTCATTGCATCCTGGGATGTTTGCTCATTAAGATACCACTATGGTTTGGAAACTAGTTGAAGAATTTAAAACAGGTCAATAGTTTCATTTTCACACTAAAACATTGTTTAGGTCCTTCTTCTAGGTTATCAGAAACACAGTTCCCGTGCCTTTTATTTGATAGTTCTAAAAGCTTTGGGTGCAAGGACCAAAATTCCCTGCCCAGATTTATGCTCAGGGATTTTCCTGTCTTCTTTCCAGAGGCAGGCTTGGTCCTGGCTGCTTCCACTAAGGAGGCCACAGATGGAAGACTGCTTTCTCTGTCCTTTTCAAGCCATAACCTTCAAATGCCAGCTTTGAAGCAGCAGAGCCTGTAAAACGTGCTTGGTGCTTTTTTCTGTCTTTTTGTGTTTGAGTTCACCCTGTGGTGGTTCTTCCTCTCCTCCCCTTCCATCGCTGACCCTGGGTGCTCGGGGAGAGACTGGGATTTAACCAGGCATGAAAGAAGGCAATTTGGCAGCTTTGGAATGTGGAAGTCCGTTTACCTAGGGGCCAAATGTGAGGCTGGAGACTGAGCTCACATACCTCCCTCGCCTCAGTCTCAGGGATCCAGCCTTCTCACTGGGAAGCAGAGGGACTTAAAAAGCTCTCAGAAGCTCCTAAGGCACTGGCTTGTTGCCTAGGACGTATTTTCTCCTGTTGTGCCCAGATTTCGAGGTCCCCAAAGACCACCAAGGAGCGGATTCCGATGTAAACACACGAGGGTCGTTTATTCAAGCTCGAGCAGGGACTCCCAACCATCACCGCCGCAGCAGGTCAAGATTGAGAGCCCCGACTCCAAATCAGCAGGGGTTTTTATAGCGGTTACAGCAAGGTTCTAGATTGGCAATTAAACTTGATTGATTGTGCCTTGCTCACCCAAGCTGCAAACAGTTGCTAACTACTGATTAGCTGTCGCTAGGGGACGGCTGAACACTATCACATGCAGGTGGTCAAAATACATCTTGTGGTTTTTCTTAGAACTGAAATTTATGCCACCAAATTTTAGAAGGGAGTCACTTAGGTCTCACACTCCTTTAAAGTCAGAATCAAGGGAGGATAGTGAATCACCCGGCACTGGCAACTATTGCGATAACAACCACATCAATAAGAAGTATCAGCCGCATCAATTTAATAATTTAAAGAATGATTACTTTCTGTTTCTGTAGGATGATGGGAACTTCCACTGCTTATTTGTGTGGTGGCATGTTTGATTGCCCAGTGGAATCTTCATAGAAATATTGGTGCAGCATCTTTCGAATGTAAAATTTAAATCATCACAACAAAGCCAAGATTGAGAAAGAGAAGAAAGATCGTGTGTGATGGGGATTTATGGAATTTCTGAGTGGTCTGGACGGTTCCTGCACGCAGGCAGCATGTCCCTGCTTTGAGTCAGGCCTGTATGTTCTCCCTGGTCCTCTGGACAGCTGGTAAAAGGCTTGATCCATCTTTCCACGACCACACAATCTTGGCAACTGGCAGGAAGTGTGGCCAGGAGATGGTCAGCGAGCTGACAATGTATTTCCCAGGATGGTGGAACACACCATGAAAAATCCCTGGGCACTGTAGCACAGCCATGGGCAAGAAGGCAGAAAAAGTAGAAATACATTCCTCAGAAGAGATTGTATAATTCAGCTGAAGGAAAGGAACCTGAATTCAGAAAGGAGATGTGTCAAACCCCAGCATCATGTGGCACTCGGGCCTGCCCCACACTCCCTGCTGTCTACTCTCATCTGTGCCTCCCCACCTTCCTTTACCTGCCTGACTTCTCCTCTTCCTGAGATAGGAGAAAAGAAATTAAAAACTAGGTAGAAAGGAGACAAAGAAATTGAAATTTTAAGTTGTACTTTTAAGAAAAACTGCAGCTTCAAGACATAAAACTCACTCAAGCCTTTTTCCCTTTCAGGAACCCCCCCCCCCAACACACACCCAAAATCCTAAAGGTCCTTATACAATAAGGCTGTAAATCTGGGCTCTTAACCCATCCTTCCTACCTATAAACTGCACCTCCTCCATCCTCAGGAAGCAACAATATTAGTGGGGAACATATCTCAAATTGAAACCCAGGCACATGGCTTCCATAGCAACCTAACACGGTTAAGACATGCATCCTAGATCACCCATCTGAAAGACAGGCCCTTAAATGTACACACCTGGGCTCATACTATGTCTTGTTTTCTCTGAGCTCTCTCACTCTGCTCCGGAGTATGTCCGAAAAATCTCTAATAAACATTTCTTATATCTCTTTTCCCGACGCATGCTGAAAATCCCATTTCTGCAATGGGAGTCAGCAAACTTCCAAACTTGCTTTGAAAGGGTGGGATAGGTTCCTTATTTCAGGCTCAGGGACATCACAGACCCAGCCCAGGAACGCTTTCAGAACACAGCTCTGATGTTGGCTTTCCCAGGAAGCCACTGCCACCCCAGAGGATGAATCTCTCTGTGCCTCCTTTTGCCTATCCTGACCATTGTCCCCACCATGTTTTATTAGGATGTTTTCTTCATGGTGAACTTTGATCTCCATGAGGGCAGTGGCTGGGGTTTACTCAGCCCTGTGGCCCCAGCACCAAGCCCAATTCCAGGCCCAAGTAAATACAGTCATCGTGACCACATCAATAGATAAATAGCTGCTGAGGGCTCCCAGTGACAAGGGATGGCCATAAGGTCATTGGGCAAAGCCTTGCAGATGAGTCAGTTCTGAAGGAAGTAGAACTAATTGGATTGGTAGGAAGAAGACTGGGTGGACCATTTATGGGAAATGTCGGGAGCTTCGTTGAACTGCCTCTCACAGGACATCGCAGAGGGGATTAACAGGAGATGGAATTAATAACAGGGGAAGGAGGAGAGCTCGGGACTGAGAGCACTTTGTACTCTGGATCTGACAAGCAGGCCATGTAATTCTTTCCACCTGCTGTGGATGAGAGGGTGAGCCCAGGCCAGCCGTGCCCTGACCACATTTTCACCAGAACATCTATCTTTGGCTTCTTTAAATCCCACTGTGCTTTCAGTTTAATGCAGCATTTCCTTTACTTCCTGTCTGCAACCTTTATACATATTTCAGTGGTGGCTGTAGGTTATTTCCACAAATTACAGCAAACCTACTCCCACAGAGACCTAAGCCAACTGCAGTTTTTCCTTAGAGGCGCAAGTTTTTCCTTGTCTTCAAGTGACTTTCATCTCATACTTCCCTGGACAAGAGCATCACTTCTCATGTAGTCTCATGTAATGAAAAGTGCTGACTTGAGCCCTGCAATTCCAGCCGCGCCACCAGGAAGAGGAAATGAGCAAGGTTCATAACCAGAACACACTGTACCTTTGTAAACATTAACCATTGTTAGGGTCTGTGGGCCCGGCTGCTAAAGGCACCGATGGTGGAAAGCAAGAATTACATGCCAAAAATCCTATCTATGGAAAATTTCAGAGTTCCTTTATCTGCCTTGGTCTTCAAAGTTGCAGGTGCTATTTTGTTTCTTTTTTTAAAATAGAAGTATAGCTAACGTGACTTATCTTTTATCTGAAAATATCTCTATCTGAGCCACATCATGATTAGAAGAGCAAAGTCATTCTCTGACAGTACCTGAGCTGAAATGACATCGTGCCATGGCAGGGGTTTCTGTTTTATGAGGACTTTTGTGTTAGCGATTAGAAGGGATTAGAAGGGATTGATAGTCTTTGCCGTTTGCTGGCACAGCCTAGGCATACATGGAGTATCACTGATTTTTATAATTCGCGGGGAAATTTTTGTTGCTCTCTTGATTTTATTTTTCTGTAAAAGTGAATCATGGAAATCAGCATTTAAATGATTTTACCAGAAAACTGATGGCTGCAATCATCGTCTTTGTCATCATTTTGTTCTTGTGCACCTAATAAGTGCCAGGTAGAGAGCAAATGGTTTTGTACTACAGCTCATAGGACCTGGCACTTACTTCTCTTCTAGTATTTCTCAAAGTGAATCAAAACACACTGTATAAGCAACTGTCTGGACTATCTGACCACAAACTCCTAACAAGGCTTATATCTCACTCATTTAGGTGCCTTAGTACCCTACGTATTATCAGCACTCAATAAGTACCTATTATATGCAACTTGAGATAACAAATTTTTACCATTTTCTGGATCTTAAATAAAATATAATACTATAGACAGCGCTATTTATAATAAGAAAATCTGGACACAAACTATAGGGGAGTAGTTTAATATAAGGACCAAAAATATACCTATTCTATGTGATATAAAAATGAGGCAAGGAAATGAAGGATTTTAAAATGAAAATTTGGAAGCCAGGCCTAGTGGTGCACACCTGTAATCCCAGCACTCAGGAGGCTGAGGCAGGAGGAGAACTGTGAGTTTGAAGCCAGCCTGGGCTACATAGTGACTTCACGACCAGCCTGAACTAAATAATGAGACTCTGTCTCAAAAACAGCAGCAACAACAAAACAAAAAAAAACAAAAGAAAATTTCTAAACTAGGCATGGTGGTACACTGTGAGAGGCAGAGGCAGGAGAATCACAAGTTTGAGCACATTCTGGGCAATTTAGCAACTTATCAAGAAGACCTGGGGAGAGCGGCACGGGGCTGTGGCTCAGCAGG